GGTAGTTCCAGGTCCAGTCTTCTGTGCTGATGACCTGGTCTTCTGGCCTTTGGTCCTATTGCTTCAGCTCAAACCTCCGGCTTCCTTCGGTTGCTGATCTTCACTCGGCTCCGAAGGTCTTCTTTCTCCACAACCAGCAGTCCACAGCTGGTTCCTTGATCCAGCTGGCGGGGTTCGGGTGGTCCTTTTAATCCGGCTCGAAGGACCAATTGAAAAGGAACCAAGGTTCGGGGGTCCTTTGTGGCGGAAGGAGGGGACGGGGATTAAACGTTCGATTAAGAAACAGAAGGGAGGAATCGAGGCTTCTCTCGATCCGGCCTCCTATAACGCCTACGTTGGGTTCGGGAACAACGTATGTGATCTCCGCAACGGAGTAACACACAAGGGCGATAACCTCTTCCTTTTCAGCGAGTAGGTTCAGACGGGGATTACGGGTCTTCCGAAGTCGTCCCGGTCCCAACGCCTTAATTCTTCGATGTGGACTGTATAATCTTGAGGGGTGAATTACTTGGGAATAAAACAGCAATTATCTTCAAACCGTTCCGTGAGAGAGTAATCACTTTTTCCCTATCACTTCCCTATATTCTTCTTATTGACTGCTGGTTTTTCACTTTTCTCGAACTTTTTTCCCGAACCTTCTGCCCGAAGGATTCCCGAACTATCTTCCCGAACTTTTCCGAAGGATTCCCGAACGAATTGCAATAAAACTCATTTACTAAGCTACCCCAGCGCTATACGTGAAAGTGAGCCGCGCCATTCGCGCGCTTGCGCAACTCAATTACATGAATTTGTTCTATTACTCTCTCACGTTTTACTTAATTACTTTATTTGCATAAGTCATACATCAACATAATTTACGTGTATAGATAGCACAAAACAATATCTACACTACGATATACATTACATTTTTATATCAGGAAAAACCTATTATTTATTTAACAAAATATGCCTATTTTACTCACAAGTCCAAAGTCGAAATTTCTTAAATATTTAACATAGAAAGTTAAAACAATGTTTTCCACTTGAAATTATACATAAGTTAACCAATACAACAGTTTAATTTACATTTTCTCTATTCATTTCACTATTAAAACACTTTTAAAATTTCTTATACAAAACTATAATTATTTCACTTATTCACAGGAATTTTCACATAAAAATAACACAGAATTCACCTTTTTTAGCACGTACAATCAACCTGAAATGTTTTACAAGTCATTTTTACATAAATTGCTGAAATTACAAATATTTAAATTTTTACATATTTGGCCTCCTAAGTACGTGGCTAGCGTGCGTCTATGAACTCACACTATTTGAACAACTAACTTTTGCACGGCTCTCGGCTATCAGAAAAAATGAAAGTCTGATATACACAAATTTTAACTATATTGGGTGAATAAATGCTTCTACACAATTTTCAAACTGTAGGAAACTAGTTCTAATCAGATTCTTATCAGATATCATGTTTCTTATCAGATAACAATATAAGTGAATGTTCTCATAAATCAATCATGGCAAATAGGCATTTGTTTTCATACAAAACATATCAAACCCATATAAGACAACACTTATGCTATTAATTTCCATTAATTCTATTTATGCACAGAGTGATCATCTCGACCGGGGAACAAATCCGATCTCTAACTTCACTTTAATATTCCTTTGAATTTACATCATTTGAAAGATGATTTCAACCGGGGAAACAATCCGGTAACATAATTTATATCTTAAATTCCTTATGAATTTATTAAGCGATATTACTTAGGAAAACAAATAAACCAGTCCGGCCTGGGAGTCGAACCCAAGACCTTCATATCATTAATTCGATATTTCTTTAAGATTTAACTAAGCATTTTCTTATTAGAACATTGCTATTGGACAATTTGCCTTTTAGAAGCTATTCGTCATCGGTTGACTTAATAAACTGAAATATTCTTATAGGCGCGTCGCCAACATATATATATATATATTATTATATATATATATATATATATATATATATATATATATATATATATATATATATATATATATTTAAATCTCTTTGAAATAAATGTTTATTATAATATCGTCCCATAGGCAAAGAAAATATACATGGGTGTCATACGAGCCGACTTAGGGAAACTAAAACATGAAATGCACAGCATCATACGGATACAGCATCAGATAACGATTGTTTAACTTAATTACAGTAATAGTCATAAACTTCTTGACATCAAGAATATTCATCATCATCATCATTACAGCCTTTCAAAACCTACTGCTGAACATAGGCCTCCCCCAAAGAATGCCACAAAGCATTGGAAAGGACAGAGGCACCTGCATCCATCAAATTCCTGCATGTCTTACCAGGTCGACTTCGCCGCTTTACGATTCGCCTACCTGTACAAGGCAGCCACTTGAGAATCTACTTCCCCATCGGTTGTAGGTTTATAAAAAAAATCGGTTGTCAAGCGTGACAACTACAGCACAAACCTCCCTATGAGGGAGGCCCATAGAATACTATAATTAACAATAGCATGGCTGTCAACCTTATTTTGTACGAGTGTCGGCGTCGCCGGGAGCACACATATAAGCAATTACGTCGTATTATCACTACTATAAACCCGATTCGCTGTGTTGACAGACTGAGTAAATTTAAACATTTTAGACTTGATTAATGTTCAAGATCATCATTAAAAAATCGTTTAAATTTTAATACATATTTATTTGTAAATAGTGTGCAATTTGGCATTTTCTAAATAATTTGCATGCGAAATTTGGAAACGATTATAACGTCAAAACACATCTCGTGTTGACAGTTATACGTGTGAATTGACATGTTAGTGACATTTTGGTGGCTACACGGGCTCCGCCCACTCCCCCGTTCTATTATGTATGTATTATAGTATTCTATGGGGAGGCCTATGTTCAGCCACAGTCTAACCACTACTAACAGTCGGTCAGTAGGCATGTCAATCTGAGATCGATAAATCGAAGGAACGAATTCTCCTGCCAAAAATATCAATTTTTAAATATCGATATACGGTACTGAATCGATATTTTACCCTTGAAAATCGAGAGCGAACCTTTTTCTGTTTTTATAAGAACTATAAAATTATTTACAGTTAGTTGTAATGTACCCTAATTCGTAAAAACAAAACTTGCAAAAATGCTGTGTGCTTAGTTTTTCTTTCGCCTGTTGTTAATGGATTAAAAAAAAATAAAAAATAAGTAACGTTTGCAATCTGTACTTTGTTGTATCTTTTGATATTGTAAATATCTGAACGAAATCGAAAAATGACCGATTTTTAAGAAATCGATCTTTTTAGGAAAGAATCGACATCCCTAGTCGGTCACGCAAATAAATTAAAATGGTTCACACTACATACATATGCGGTAAAAAACTGTGGGTCGTCCTCAAGCTTTAAAGCTAAGGAATTAAAGTTTCATCAGTTTCCACATACAGGAAGTTGTTTAAACGTGAAATAAAATAAAATCACTTTCTTATTTTTTTATTACTTTCCGTTCTGAAAACCCTAGCAATTTATTGTTTATGTTGGCTTTTCCGACATCAAACGCGATTATGGAGTGTAGAGGTAAGGAGAACAATCTCTCATGGCCACTCGGCTGTCTAAAACCATCTAAGGTCGCTATTAAAAAAGTACGCGTCTGTCCACAACCTTTGGAAGGTTGCAATTTACTTATAAACTTCAGATACGAAACAGTCGTAGTAAATGTATATGTATCTCACTCTAACTCGTAGAAAATTGTTTTAATATCATTAACCTACTTATCTCTTATCTCGGTATGGAATTGTCGCTATTGAAGTACATAGTTTGCCTTTTTTTGTGCCTGTTTCGGGTCATCTTAAGTGGCCCACATTATTGTCGTGCTTGTGGTGTAAAAAAATGTACGCAGAGTTGAGTTTTTGTAATTAATTATTGTAAAGTGTATTTATCTTATTGTAAATAAAATAAATATTTATTGAAGTAATTGTTTTTTTTACATTTTTTATTCCCCAAACTGGAAAAATCGCTTTTAGTATTTTTACCACGGAATTTAGAAAATATAAAAAAATGTGAATGTACACATTTACACATATTCTATTAGCTTACTTAATAATAATTCTAACAACATATTATTTTATAGTTTCCATTCATAATTATTAAGATATTGCCATTTTAATAACATGCACCACGTAGGCAATAAATCACTCGTTTAGGGTTGGACAGTATAACCTAGAGTACAGGTAGGACATGCGCCAAAGCGACCATTTGGGCCGGGACTGTTGAGAGGATAGGAGAATAGTTGAAAAAGTGTCCATCTAAAACAATAAATAACAGTTCAAAAACTCTCCACAACTGCGCTGGAATAGCTACGGGAAAAGCTACATGAAATGAACTTAGCAGTTGTCGACGGTGTGAAGAGTGCTGCTAAACTGCTCAGTAGCTCTAAAATCTAAAATAATTTTATTTAGTAAATATAATCTCGAAAAAGTCGTCTATCCCATTAATATTTTTCGGCGCGTTCTTTAAAATTTACCACGTAGCAATAGTGGCACCACCCTTATTTAACGGTTTTTTATGGACACTTTTTAATACACAGTCTGCACTCCTTACCTTTACACTCCATAAAACGCGATGATTGACTGTGTTTCATAGGCTATAGTTCAGCAGTGAACTGTACTATATAGGCTTTAATTGATGGATTGATGGACTTATTTGAAAAAAAAAAGATTCAATGGACATTAATATACATAAATGTTTAAAAATTAAAATAGGCACAACTTGCATTATGATTATTTGTTTTTTTAAGTAAAACGAATGCATCCAAGAAAGAGATTTTTCTCAAATGGCTAGTAAATAGTTAAATTTGTTCATTGTGATCTACTATATTATTTATCTCTATATTTACAGAATTGTGGGGCACTATAAACAAATCTTGTATTCAACATTCACTACAATAGTGTTGTAGTATTTTCTGACATCTGCTAATCAGTATAGTATAGTAATCTTGTATTATTGGTAGTCAGTAGGTGGCGGTAGTGTAGCGAGGTAGTCGAGTGCGCGTTGTATGGCAGGCGGTATCGGCGGCGGAGTGGGTATGTGGTCTCCCTCTGCGTGGAAGCCATTTTTGTCAGCCTTGTACAGGACATTGATAACCTGGAAAGAAAAATATTTTAGCATTATCACATGTTCCATTCACTATATTTACAAAATGGTGAGACCCCTTCTCTCTCTTGCCAGAATTGGTCCTGCTAACTTATTTATACTGCTAAGCAACAACTGTCAATTTTTTAAGTATTTTAAATACATACAAGTTTTCACAAATAACTTTATTACTTTACCTTATTGTACGTGGTAGAGCCACACTGCAGCTATATTATAGTTGTAGCATGAATGGGTCGGCACGACCGGGCAGGAACACATATACGTAATAGGAGATTCATCATCATCATCATTACAGCCCTTTACAAGTCGACTGCTGAACATAGGCCTCCCCCAAGATATGCCACAAAGCACGGTCCTGAGCCACCTGCATCCATCGACTTCCTGCATGTCTTACCAGGTCGTCACTCCATCTAGTGGGGGGGTCGCCCTACACGTCGTCTACCGGTACGAGGCTGCCACTTGAGAACCTTTTTTCCCCAACGGTTGTCGGTTCTTCGAGCTATATGGCCGGCCCATTGCCACTTTAGCTTACTAATCCGTTGGGCTATGTCGGTCACTCTGGTTGGATATCCTCATTTCTAAGTTTATCGCGCAGGGAATCTCCGAGCATAGTCCTCTCCATAGCTCGCTGAGCGACTTTGAGCGTCCTCATATGGCCAGCAGTGAAGGACCACGTCTCAGCTCCATATGTCATCACTGGCAACACGCACTGGTTGTACAACTTAGTTTTCAGGTTTTGAGGTATACCTGACGAGAAGATGTGTCGTAATTTCCCGAACGCTGCCCAACCGAGTTGAATCCGTCGATTGACCTCTCGGTCGAAGTTGGACTTACCTAGCCGGACTATTTGTCCCAGGTAAACGTACTCGTCAACAACTTCGAGCTAATAGGAGATTAATAACAAAAAAATAATAACAACGAAACACAAGAGCATTACGCTGCTATTTTACGCTGGTATAAAGAGCATTACGCTGCTATATACCAGCGTAAAATAGCAGCGTAATGCTCTTGTTTTTCGTATGGTGAGTAGAAAACCTGAAACTCTTTTTACTGGAATTGAGGCATTCCATCTTAGTCCTCGGGGGGTGACAACGTATTTGCATTTTGATCCTTAATTGAGGATAAATGTGGATGTCTATGGGCCACGGCATCCATTTACCATCAGGTAGACTGTGCTTGTTTGTCACCCAATGCTATAAAAAAAGTATTTCTAATTTTACGATAATTTTATGTCAAACGTCATAAAAAAGTTTGGAAAATCCAAAAGTGCACAACTCATAATTCTCATATGATAGTTAAAAAAAAAGTAGAAATAAATTCTCAATCAACCATAGAAGATATTTTTATACTTAATTTTACTTTGTTATTGTTATTGAGATTCAAACATTTTTTATTATTGTTAATTGAAATTTTTTTAACAAAAATTATCGTGTTTACCCCTCCATATGGACTTGATAAATCCACATCATAATTCACTAAAATCACTTTTGTTAATGCAAAAACAATAGTTAATCGATTTTAAAAAATAAAGTCAACAATCATTTATCTTTCTGACAATGTGCTTTTTATATCATTTATAAGTTCAATATGATTGTTAGATACAATTTCATGCGACAAAACGATGGATTCTTGATTTTTAGGCGCTAGTAGAACATATTAATACCTACGCGCTTTGGGCTTAAGGCATGCAATAGTTCATCATTAGGCCCTATGCTTACAATATATTTTAAGATTTGCTTACCTTTGATGGCTAATAGGAGAAGTAAGTACTTATACATCTGCTCTTATGCATCTGCCTTTCCATCCGATTACAATGTTGGTGTCTTCAAGACAAAAGTGAATAAGCTTTTGATAAGTCACTGCACTTCACCAACTTAGGCTACATCACAATTTATCATCAGATGGGATGGTAGTAAAGCGCTGACTTAATCCCAAATACTCAAACTCTATTCAATTTTAAGATGCTGATAAGTCTCATCATGCTGACACTGTCACTTTAAGTCAAAGGGACTGTGACACCACGAGATATATAGCGTTTGAGTATTCAGCAGTTAGAATATTAAAAAAAGACATAGGCACAGAATAAATAAATATATGTATACCTGTCCATCAGGCGCCGTGTACTGGTACTGCCCCTCTACCAATAGACTTGGCTCCTCGGCCGCTGTACTTTGCAAGGAGCCAAGTTGCTCGTGGAATATACCACCTTCTGTAATAAAATTATTTATTGGTATTCATATAGCCGTGTAGTGGCGGTTAAGAATATCCACTACCCCATATCTTCCCGTGGGTGTCGTAAGAGGCGACAGAGGGAGACAGGCAGGAGATGGGCAGCAGCATCTTCCTGATAACAGCAACTGTACGACAAAAAAAAAACTGCGGTTGCCAACCCGCTCGCCAAGCGTGGCAACTATGGCAATATACCCCCCATGAACAATTACACAAATAGACGGCCCCCAGTCCCCGGCGGCCCCGCTATTCCTGGCTACGGTGGCGACCATGGTAACGGCGGGGCAGGGGGTGCTAAGAATCTCCGGTGGAGGTTCGGTTGCCACCTACGACGACTCGACCTGGCAACATTTAACGCACGCACACTGAGGACTGACGAGAAGATCCTGGAGCTGGAAGAAGAGATAGACAAGTTGCGCTGGAGTATTATAGGATTATCCGAGGTCCGAAGAGAGGGGGAGGACACGGTGATTCTCGAATCCGGCAACTTGTTCTATCACCGGGAGGGCGACCATCTATCCCAAGGAGGTGTCGGATTTATCGTCCACAAGTCTCTCGTCAACAACGTTGTACAGATTGAGAGTGTGTCGACGAGGGTCGCGTACCTGATACTCAGAATCACCAAACGGTATTCGCTGAAGGTCATACAGGTTTACGCACCAACGTCGGCACATTCCGATGAGGAGGTGGAGGAAATGTATGAGGATATTTCCAAAGCCATACATTCCTCCAAAACCCACTACACGGTGTTGATGGGAGACTTCAACGCAAAACTAGGCACAAGAGAAAGCGGTGAGCTGAAGTTAGGGAAATTTGGAGTAGGGCAACGGAACCGAAGGGGCCAGCAGCTGGCCGACTTTATGGAGAAAGAGGGACTCTTTATGATGAACTCTTTCTTCCAGAAGCGGCCCCACAGGAAGTGGACCTGGTCGAGCCCCGACGGTTCGACAAAAAATGAGATTGACTTCATTATGACGACCAGACGCCAACTGTTCAGTGATGTCTCAGTGATCGCAAGGGTGAAAACTGGCAGCGATCACCGAATGGTTAGAGGCACACTGAACCTAAACGTTAAGTTGGAGAGGTCTCGTCTAATGAAGTCAACGCTCCGTCCCCCTCGTGCTCTGATCCAAAATCCCGAAAACTTTCAGCTCGAGTTACACAACCGCTTTCAGTGCCTACAAGATTGCAATGCAGTGGACGATATGAATGACAAGCTCGTGGAAACTGTCCATGCGGTCGGAGCTAAGTTCTGCAAGACCCGCCGCAGAAGAACACAAAAACTCTCCGATCACACTCTTAATCTCATGGCTGTTAGACGGGAGATGAGGCTGCAATCGTCAACAGATTTGACAGCATACAGGCAACTGAATAGACAGATCTCCAAATGCATGCGGCGAGACTTACGCAACTTTAATACTGCTCGTATTAAAGAAGCGATCGAGCGGAACCAGGGCTCCAAAGTCTTTGCCAGAGATCTGTCTGCCAGAAAGAGCCAACTGTCAAGGCTGAAGACTGAGTGTGGCAGCATCGTTTCCGGGACGTCTGAGATTCTGAGTGAGATTGAGAGGTTCTATGGGCAGCTGTACACATCATCGTTGGAGCCACACGCAAGTGTGAGTAACGATCCAAGAGCAAGTCTTATCCGACACTATTCCGATGATATCCCGGACGTCAGTCTAAGCGAGATTAGAATGGCTCTCCAGCACCTTAAAAACGGCAGGGCCCCAGGCGAGGATGGAATTACAGCGGAGCTTCTGAAAGCGGGTGGAACACCGGTACTTGAAGTCCTTCAGAAGCTCTTCAATTCCGTCCTCCATGGTGGCACTACTCCAGAGGCGTGGAGCAGAAGTGCGGTGGTCTTGTTCTTTAAGAAAGGCGACAACGCTCTCTTGAAGAACTACAGACCGATTTCCCTTCTGAGCCGCGTCTACGTGCTGTTTTCGAGAGTCATTACGAATCGTCTCGCACGCAGACTCGACGACTTCCAGCCTCCCGAACAAGCCGGTTTCCGAAAAGGCTTCAGTACCATAGACCACATACATACCCTGCGGCAGATTGTACAGAAGACTGAAGAGTACAATTTGCCACTTTGCCTGGCGTATGTGGACTATGAGAAAGCCTTTGATTCCGTCGAAATTTGGGCGGTGCTGCAGTCCCTTCAGCGGTGCCAAGTTGACTGTCGGTATATCGAAGTGCTGAAGTGTTTGTACAGTAGGGCTACGATGGCTATCCGAGTACAGAACCAGAGCTCGAAACCTATCCAACTGCAGAGAGGTGTAAGACAGGGTGACGTTATATCCCCGAAACTCTTCACCGCTGCTTTGGAAGACGTTTTCAAGCTACTGGACTGGAAAGGATACGGTATTAACATCAATGGCGAGTACATCACTCACCTTCGATTTGCCGACGATATAGTCCTTATGGCAGAATCGCTGGAGGACTTAAGCACTATGCTCAATGACCTCAATAGTGCCTCCCAACGGATAGGTCTTAAGATGAACATGGACAAAACAAAGATTATGTTTAATGTCCATGTCACACCTATGCCGGTAGTTGTTGGGAGCACTATGCTCGAAGTTGTTGACGAGTACGTTTACCTGGGACAAATATTCCGACTAGGTAAGTCCAACTTCGACCGAGAGGTCAATCGACGGATTCAACTCGGCTGGGCAGCGTTCGGGAAATTACGACATATCTTCTCGTCAGGTATACCTCAATCTCTGAAAACTAAAGTGTACAACCAGTGCGTGTTGCCAGTGATGACTTACGGATCAGAGACGTGGTCCTTCACTGCTGGCCGTATGAGGACGCTCAAGGTCGCTCAGCGAGCTATGGAGAGGGCTATGCTCGGAGTTTCTCTGCGTGATAGACTCAGAAATGAGGATATCCGCAGTAAAACCAGATTGACCGACATAGCCCAACGGATTAGTAAGCTGAAGTGGCAATGGGCCGGCCATATAGCTCGAAGAACCGATAAGCGATGGGGAAGAAAGGTTCTCGAGTGGCAGCCTCGTACCGGTAGGCGTAGTGTAGGGCGACCCCCCCACTAGATGGAGTGACGACCTGGTAAGATATGCAGGAAGTCGATGGATGCAGGTGGCTCAGGACCGTGCTTTGTGGCATTACTTGGGGGAGGCCTATGTTCAGCAGTGGACTTGTGAAGGGCTGTGATGATGATGATGATGATTCATATAGCCGTAAATTTTACACTGTGCGCGAGTGTAACCGCACCGTTAGGTAGTTTCTTTTACAGTGTAATTGATCAACTAAAACTAGACAAATTGCTCTTTGAAACTTTACAATTACACATAACACTGTGCCCGAGTGTAACCCAAACATTAGGTAGTTTGTTTTGTAGTGTAATTGATAAACTAGAACTAGACAAATTGCTCATTGAAACTTTACATTACACATTGTTATGTGGCCCAACTTCCTGTTGAGCACCTCGAAGTGTTTCGTCCAGTCCGGAAAACACTCAGCCAATATGGGCGGGCATCTCTTGGATGTTTTTTCCGGCGGTTTTGGTGCCTCAGCTGTTCTTGTCTTTGGTACTGCTGGGGCAGCTACCAGTTGGGCGTAACTTGTCGAAGGCCTTTGACCATCGTCCAATGGCCGGCCTGACGGGTTGGTTGTTGGCGCGGACGGTGAGTGTCCGTATTTTTGTATTCTGTGAGAGCGTGGTCTTTTCCCAGTCGAGCCGACTCATTCGTGCTACAAACATAATGTTACGAGCTTGAGGTTCGTGACAATAAAAATTGCCGATAAAATTACCTAAATTAACACTTTAATTTACTTTACACAAATTAAAGTTAAAAACACTAATAATTAAACACACTTATTCACTTTATTCCGCTCCGAAGCTTCGCTTGTTTCGACAAATCAACACTACTTCGATCGCATCTTGCAGCGCCTACTTATTTAAATTAGCAAAGAAATATCCAGAATGTTCAAGTAAACACGCGCAAGGTACCGAGCGTTCGAGTTTCGACTACGCGCTGTCGGTTGAGTGATTTGTGATGTCATTTTCTCAATGCTCCCCTCGCTCTCGTTCCTGACACTAGATGGCGCTAGTGTATCGTCGACTTGAGCGCGTAACACTGCCCCCTCCTAAGACATGCTCGTCCCGAGCATTATCGGCCCCATAATAACGCGCCAAGCGATTCACATGGACGATCTTAGGAGTCCCTCTTGCGCCTTTCTGTAACGGCTCCGCAATGTCAAGGGCTGTCCTATCCCGTGGTGCACCAACATTGTACAATTTCGGTGTCCTCTACTACGTGTCCGAGGTCCCCGCACGGCCGCACAACTTGTACATGTACGACACCAATCCTCGACATCGTCACGATAATGGACCCAGTAAAACTGTTTTCGGACCTTCAGTAGAGTTCGTTTAACTCCCAGATGGACTCTTGAACGACCATTATGGCACAACTGTAGAACATTCGGCACTTTAGCTTTAGGGACAACCATTTGCAAACGACAGCTGTCTCTTCGACCATTGTCCCATTTACGGCACAGGAATCCATTCTGAATCAGCAAGCTGTCCCATTGGGCCCAATAGCTTTTCGTGGTTGAACTCATCGCTGAGACGTCCCTCCACTTAGGCTTGGTAGCACGGGCCTTCATCCATCCCAGAATCGGCTTGATGTCCGGATCTTCCTGCTGTGCATGTCGTAGGTTGTCCTTCCACCCGTTGCTGAGGTGGTCTGTCCTGAGCATCCTCACGGATACCGCCTCCTTACTCTCTTGCCTACTACAATGGTTGCAATCTTCAGGACAAGGTCTTCTTGACAATGCATCTGCGTTGCCGTGAGATTTCCCGCTGCAGTGTCTGATAGTAAAGTCGTATTCCTGCTGCTGCTGGGCGGTGCTGTTAGCCGCACTTCCTTTCTGAGACCGTTCACCTTCCCTTCGTAGGGTGTGCTCAGGGCAGCTGGACCGAAGATGGCCCCTTTCCCCACAGCCATAGCACCTAGG